GGCAGCATGTCCCTCTCCCAGGCCACAGGTGCAGACACAGCCGCTGGCGCTTGGGACCACGGGGTGGGGCGGCTTGTTCCTCTCTTGGGCTGCAGCCACAGGCACTGGCGCCTGGGACCACAGGGCGGGTGGCTTGTCCCTTTCCTGGGCCGCAGGTGCAGATGCAGCCTCTGGCACTCGGGACCATGGAGCGGGCGGCTTGTCCCTCTCCTGGGCCGCAGGTGCAGACCCAGCCGCTGGCGCTTGGGACCACGGGGCTGGCGGCTTGTCCCTCTCCGGGGTCGCAGCCTGGCTGGTCCCCATTCCTCTCTCTTGAGCTCATTTGTGCCTGGCTGGTCCCCATATCTCTCTCCCCAGTGTTGAGTGTCTGAGCCATTAAGGCGTGATGGCGTGAGGGCATGATGACAATTTGCATATTAGCTCTTTATTATATAGGATGATAAGGGGTTGTTGAATGCTCCAGCCACAGTTGTGGACTCATGTATTTCTCCACATTCTATCAGCTCTTACCTTATGTATGTAGTTTGACTTGTGTTGTTATGCATACAAACCTAAAAGATTGCTATGCCCTCTTGGAGATATTATGTAATGTTCCTCTTTATCTCTGAGTTTTCCTTGGTTTGAAATCTTTATTATCTATAATTCATACATCTGTCCATTGATTTCTGTTGGCATTTTCTCTCTTCCTTTACCTTTCATCCATCTGTGTCTTCATATTTAAAGTGTGTTTCTTATGGACAACATGACAGTGTGGTTTAAAATCTGATATTTCTGTATTGTTCAATTGTATTGAGACCATTGATGATTAAAAGTGGCTACTGGTGCATTTGGATTAATATTTACCAGATCTTTTACTGTTTTCTATTTGTTGCTTTTGTTCTTTGTTACCTTTTGTTTTCAACATTTTTCTACCTTCTTTGGCTTTAACTGAGGATTTTACTTAATTGTTTTTTTTCCCCCTCTCTCAGCATATCAGTCACACAGTTAAAAAAAAGGTACTCTTTTAGTGGTTTCCCTTGAGCTTTGAGTACATATTTGCAACTAACCTATATCTGTCGAATCACACTGTACCACTTCACTGCTTGTGCAAGTATCTCCTACCACAGTATTCCCAGTTCTCCCGTCAGTGTCCCTTGTCACATTGTCATTTATTTTCATTACCCATAAGCTTATAGTACCAAACACATTATTGCTAATATTTTTTAAACAAAGCATCATGTGTTATATGACACGAAAAAAATTACCTTAATTTCTTCCTTTTCTAACCCTACATCTTCATTACTTATATTCTTTCTGATGAACTTTTGAACATTTAATTTAAAGTAGCTGTACTAATGACAAATTCCCTCAATTTTTGTGTTTTTTAATCCTCACCCGATGATGTTTTCCATTGATTTTTTAGAGCGAGTGGAAGAAAGAGGGAAAGACAGAGAGAAATATCGACGTGAGAGAAACACATCAATTGGTTGCCTACTGCACGAACCCCGACCAGGGCCCGGGCTGGGGAGGAGCTGGCAACTTAGGTACGTGCGCTTTACCAGAATCAAACCCAGGATCCTTGGGTCTTCAGGCTGACACTCTATCCACGGAGCCAAACTGGGTAGGGCAAATTCCCTCAATTTTTGTCTTAGAAAGTCCTTATTTATTTTTTTATGAAATATTATTTTCCTTGATACAGAATTTTACAGATGTTATTTTTTTATTTAAAAATGTTTGATATTTTATTACAATCTGGTCTTTCTTGCATAGTTTCTGAAAACAAGTTGAATTTAATTTATCTTTGTTTTTCTTTATCTAAGGTGTGTTTTACCCTCTGGCCTCTTTCAATATGTTCTCTTTTTCTTTGATTTTTGTCTAATTTGAAAACAATACACTTTTGCATGCATTTTTGGTATTTTTTTAAAATTTTGTTTTATTGCTTAAAATATTACAAAGAGTAGTACATATATCTCCTTTTTTTACCCCTTGACCTTCCCCTGGCCTCCCCTAACCCCCAGTGTCTTGTGTCCATTGGTTATGCTTATATGCATGCATACAAGTCCTTTGGTTGATCTCTTACCCGTCTCCCCCCCCTAACCCTCCAATCCTCCCTGGTCTTCCCTCTGTAGTTTGACAGTCTGTTCGATGCTGCTCTGCCTCTGTATCTATTTTTGTTCATCAGTTTATAATGGTCTTTATCATCCATAAATGAGTGAGATCATGTGGTATTTTTCTTTCATTGACTGGCTTATTTCACTTAGCATAATGCTCTCCAGTTCCATCCATGCTGTTGCAAATGGTAAGAATTCCTTCTTTTTTAAAGCAGCATAGTATTCCATTGTGTAGATGTACCACCGTTTTCTAATCCATTCATCTGTTGATGGGCACTTAGGCTGTTTCCAGATCTTAGCTATGGTAAATTGTGCTGCTATGAACATAGGGATGCATATATCCTTTCTGATTGGTGTTTCTGGTTTCTTGGGATATATTCCTAGAAGTGGGATCACTGGGTCAAATGGGAATTACATTTTTAACTTTTTGAGGAAACTCCATACAGTCTTCCATAGTGGCTGCACCAGTATGCATTCCCACCAGCAGTGCACGAGTGTTCCCTTTTCTCCGAATCCTCTCCAGCACTTGTCGTTTGTTGATTTGTTGATGATAGCCATTCTGACAGGTGTGAGATGGTACCTCATTGTTGTTTTGATTTGCATCTCTTGGATGATTAGTGACTTTGAGCATGTTTTTATATGTCTCTTGGCTTTCTGATGTTCTCTTTTGAAAAGTGTCTATTTAGGTCCTTTGCCCATTTTTTGATTGGATTGTTTATCTTCCTTTTGTTGAGTTGTATGAGTTCCCTATAAATGTTGGAGATTAAACCCTTATCAGTGATAACATTGGCAAATCTGTTCTCCCATGCAGTGGGCTTTCTTGTTGTTTTGTTGATGGTTTCTTTTGCTGTGCAGAAGCTATTTATTTTGATGTAATCCAGTGGTTCTCAACCTTCCTAATGCCGCGACCCTTTAATACAGTTCCTCATGTTGTGGTGACCCCCAATTTCATTGTTACAAATTGAACATAATTAAAGCATAGTGATTAATCACAAAAACAATATGTCATTATATATGTGTTTTCCGATGGTCTTAGGCGACCCCTGTGAAAGGGTCGTTCGACCCCCAAAGGGGTCGCGACCCACAGGTTGAGAACCGCTGATGTAGTCCCATTTGTTTATTTTCTCTTTAGTTTCCAATGCCCTGGGAGCTTTATCGGTGAAGAAATTGCTTCGGCATATGTCTGAGATTTTGTTGACTTTGGATTCCTTTAGTATTTTTATGGTTTCCCGCATTTTTGGTATTTTTCATGTTTCGTGATTTAGAGCTTTCTGGATCTACAGTGTGTCATCTGTCATTAATTTTAGAAAAGTTTGGTGATTATTACTTCAATTGGTGTTTTTTTTCAGTCTTTCCTTTTTTCAGGTATTTTAATCCTCATGTTAAGGAAGGTTGTTTTAATTTTTATGGATATTGTGTTCTGTCATTTTTGTTTTCTATTGTCTTTGCATTAGACTCCTGTGAAATGGATTTTTTTAGTTCAGGCCTTGTTAAGAACAGAATATTTGGGGCGTATCTCAAGATACCATCTGTTCTCTTTCCTGACACTGGAGATACCATTTTCCCTGTAACCTCACAGGTCTGCTGAGTCTAAGAAGAGTTGTTTATTTCACGTGTTGCTGTTTTTTTCTTTTTGATGAGATTGAGACTGGCAGCTCTGAAGTTCCATAAGTGTCACATCAGAATGTGGCAGAGCAGCCTCTAGAGCAGCGGTTCTCAACCTGTGGGTTGCGACCCCTTTGGGGGTTGAATGACCCTTTCACAGGGGTCGCCTAAGACCATCGGAAAACACATTTATAATGACATATTGTTTTTGTGATTAATCACTATGCTTTAATTATGTTCAATTTGTATCAATGACATTGGGGGTCACCACAACATGAGGAACTGTATTAAAGGGTCGCGGCATTAGGAAGGTTGAGAACCACTGCTCTAGAGTGACTTGTCAGGAAGATTTTCCTCCTGAAATTGGAGAACAGAAATCATGTGTTCTTAGAAGGAAGTAGTGTTGAATCTTTGATGTGTTCTGTAATCATGGCCAAATTCACCATCAGACCATATGGACCTCAATGAACTCCCTTGAATCTGCAGCTCTGAACCTGTTCCTCAAGGGCAGTGAGGCCCAGGGTGCCCTGTTAGGGTTTGACTGGGAAGAGCTCGCCCGGCCAATTAAAATTTGGTTGGAAGCAACCTGAGCTCACATGTACAGAGATTTATGGAGTAACTTGTTAGGCCTCCTTCTTGTGTCTGACCTTTAAGCTCCAAATAACTCTCCAGCCCCATTAAACTGAATAGAGAGAAGGAAGCACTGAGTCTGTGATAAATACTACACAAATTACAACAGTGCTTCTTCACAAGCATATTTACACTGAGCCAGCTGCCCCTGATTAGGGTAAAGGACTAGAGAACGACATGGTCAGCTTGCTTTGTTGGAAGTAATTTTCACAGGCCTCCTGGACTCTCATGTTTGGTGATGCTAACAGGAGGAAAAGCTTTCAATTTTTCACTATGTTTTATTAATTAAAACTCCATGCAGATTTAACCCTCTGCTTTGTGGATTGCTGTGAATAGTGGGTAATAATAAAACAGATGAAATAATTATTTTTGCAAATTTTAATTCTTAAAATGATAATATATATTTCATCTGTATGGCATTCCTGTTATTACCCAACATGGTCAAGACCCTGTTGTTACAGAAAAATAAGATGCATTGTAACTACAGTAAGAATGTGTAAGTAATTTCCAGGTGTTCAAAGTGGTATGAACAGAGACTACATTTCTGATGATCAAGTCATAGATGAGATGTTTGTAGATGAGAGAATCATACGTTACCTTCCTATAAATGGAGTCTAGATGTCCAGTGCTATCAGTTTCACATATCCTACTCTACCTGTATTTGGGGTGTTTTAGGACTCAGTGGCCTTTGAGGATGTGGCTGTGAAGTTCACTCTGGAGGAGTGGTCTTTACTGGATCCTTCACAGAAGAAACTCTACAGAGATGTGATGAGGGAAACCTTCAGGAACCTGGCCTCCATAGGTAAGAATGATGAAATTCCTTCATTTGTCAATTAGAGGACAAGTGTTTCTTGCTCACCAGTATTGTTCTAAGATCTGTAATGTAGAGATGGATGATGGCGGTAAATAATCTAGGCATGAGCACAGCTCATCATGAATCTAGAATGTAATGCTGGAGAGAAACTCTATGATAATAATTAATAATTTTTAAAAATCATTTTAGTTCTTTGGAAACATTTTTCTGGGTCTGCATTTTAGGTAAAAGATGGGAAGAACATGACATTGAAGATCAGTACAAAAACCAGAGGAGAAAATTAAGGTGAGACACACTCACAATAGAAAGCAGTGTCTTATGGGAGAATTCTAGTGTGTTATGAAATTTTAAAAATAGCAAACAAAACAAATAAACCCTGCTTCATATGTATTTCTTCTTAGAAAAAATTTTAAAAATACTCTCTTCGATGTAATATACATGCTCAGTATTTGCAAAATATTCACTTAAAAACAGTATTAATAAATTCTATATATGAATATCACAGTTTGATGATTGCAAGGGTGAAGTTTTCTTGGAAAGTATTACACAATTTATTTTCAGACAAGGCAGAATACCTATGCTTTACCTATAAATCATAATAAATATCATGAGTAAAGAAATCATTAATAATGTGCTTCTCATTTTTTACAGAAATCCAATGGTAGAGAAATTCTGTGAAAGTAAAGAGGTTAGTCATTATGGAGAAAACTTCAGCCTTATTTCAAATCTCAGTCTGAACAAAAAAACCACCAGAGTGAAACAACACGAATGCAGAGTATGTGGAAAAGTCTTTGTATTTCAGTCATTGCTTAGTAAGCACTACAGATGTCACACTGGACAAAAAACATATGAATTTCAAAAAGATGCAAAGAAGCCATATAAATGTAAAGAATGTGATAAAGCCTTTAGTTATCTAAACTGGTTGGAAAAACATGAAAGAACCCACAATGGAGGAAATCCTTATGAATGTAAAATATGTGGTAAAGTCTTCAGGTCTTCCAGAAATGTTAAAGTACACAGAATAACGCACACTGGAGAGAAACCCTATGAATGTAAAATATGCAGTATAGCATTTAGTTATCTCAGTAATCTTCGAAGACATGGAAGAACTCACACTGGAGAGAAACCTTATGAATGTAAAATATGTGCTAAAGTCTACAGAGACCACTGGTCTTTTCAAATACATGAAAGAGTTCATACTGGAGAGAAGCCCTATGAATGTAAGAAATGTGGTAAAGCCTACATATCTTACAGGTCCTTAAAGAGACACAAAAGTTCTCACACTGCAGAGAAATCGCATAAATGTAAAATTTGTAGCACAGCATTTTGGTATCCAAGTGAACTTCGAAGACATGAAAGAAGTCACACTGGAGAGAAACCCTATGAATGTAAAATATGTAGCATAGCATTTAGGTATCTCGGTGATCTTCGAATACATGGAAGAACTCACACTGGAGAGAAACCCTATAAGTGTAAAATATGTAGCAAAGCATTCACTTATTCCAGTTCACTTCCAAAACATAAAAAAGTACATGCTGGAGAGAAACTCTATGAATGTAAAAATGTAGTAAAGCCGACAAGCATCACCGTTCCTTAAAAGCCCAGGAAAGTGCTCACACTGGAGAGAAACCCTATGAATGTAAACAGTGTGGCAGTCTATAGGTAGCACTGTTCCCAAAAAACTCATGGAAGCATTCAACCACAGGGAAGCCCATAAATGTAAAATACGTAGTGAAGCGTTGAAGTGTCTTGGTTATATCTGAAGACAGGAGACAACTCACCCTGGAAAGAAATGCTTTGAATATAAAGAGTGTGGCATAGCCTACAGATATCAAAGTTTCTTATCAAGACACAAAAGGACTCGTACTGGAGAGAAACCCTGTGAATATATGCAATGCGATAAAGCCTACACAGATCCCAGTTCCTTACAAAGACACCAAAGAGCTCATACTGGAGAGAGACCCTGTGAATGAAAACAATGTGGAAAAGTCTACAGAGATCCCAGTTTGTTACAAAGACCTGAAAGAGCTCATACTAGAGAGAAACCCTGTGAATATAAGAAAGGTAGAAAGCCTTTATTGAGATCACACAAACTTTTGAAGACACATGACAGTGCACACTGAAGAAAAATTATAGAAATGTGCAGAATTTGGGAAACGCTTCAGTTATAATAGATTCTATCAAAAGCATGAAAGGACTCACTAGATTAATATTCTTGAATGTATACAGTATGGGAAAGACTTGAATTGATCCACATTCTTACATGTGAAAACTCCCGCACAAAAATAAACGTGTTAACATGAGAAAGCTTGATGCAAATTAATCCTATATAATAAAGAGCTAATATGGAAATGGTCGTCGCGCCATCATGCTGGGGGAATCTGAGGCTGTGCCCCCTGCCCAGTGGGGCTTGATGGGGAACCTGAGGCTGCGCCCCCCGCCTGGCGGGGCTTGACGGGGGTGGGGCCGTCCAGGTTTGGGTCTCGCGCAATTTCAGGGCGTGTGTGGGTGGGCAGGGACTTGACTCTGGGTCCTGTGGTGTGCCCCAGACTCTGACAGGAGGGAGATTTTCATATACATTTTACTAATTTTCTTTCATCTCTGACACTTGTATTATAGAGAAAGGGCAAATAGCAATATTAAAGTATTTCCTCTAATTCCCTTTTAATGTGCATAGATTTCGTGCCCTGGGCCACTAGTTTATGTATAATGTGCCAGAAAACTTTCAACATAAGTTATAAATAATGGTGCAAATATATTATGTTTATTGAACCTCTTTTTATAGTGCGTCATTAGACCGTGGATTTCTACTAATTACTTTCAGAAATGTATCACATGAGATAATGAGGTTTTTTTAAACAATAATACATAAGATTGAATGATATAATGTTTTTAAAAAATATCTTAATTTAAACTTTTAAATAAAAAATATTTTTTAGGAGTGGTAAGCACACAATTCAATATGTAGATAATATATGTAGAATAGTGTACCTGAAACCTATATAATTTTGTTAACCACTGTCATCCCAATAAATTCAATTTAAAAAAAGCTGTGGTACATTTATACAATGGAATATTACTCAGCCATAAAAAAGAAGGAAATCTTATTCTTTGTGACAGCACGGATGGACCTTGAGAGTATTATAAGTGAAATAAGCCAGTCAGAGAAAGACAAATATCATATGATTTCACTTATATGTGGAATCTAATGAACAATATAAACTAACAGAGTGGATGGAGACAGACTCATGGGTATAGAGAGCACACTGATGGGTGTTGGAGACGAAGTTGTTGAGGGCTGGATGAGAAGGGTGAAGGGAGTAAGCAAAGAAAAAAAAGACTCATGAACACAGAAAACAGTATGGTGATTGCCAGAAGGAAGGGGGGTGGGGGAGGTAGAAGAGGGTAAATGAGGGATAAATGGTGATAGAAGGAGACTTGACTTGGGGTGGTAAACACAAAATACAATATACAGATGATATATTGTAGAAATGTGTATTTCAGAGCTGTATAATTTTATTAATGTCCCCCAATAAATTTGATAATTCTTTTTTTAGAGCATTGGCTATTTATTTATTTCAATCCACATCTGAGAATGTTTTTATTGATTTTTAGAGACAGAAAGGGAGATAGATAGAAACATCGTTGTGAGAAACACCAATTGGTTGCCTCCCATATGCAACCTGATAGGGGATCAAACCCGCAACCTTGGTATGTGCCCTGACCAGGAATGAAACCTGCATCCTTTTGGTGTACAGTACAATGCTCCAGCCAACCTAGCCACCGGCCAAGGCTAAATAAATATATTCTAAAAATATTTTCTCTTGATTTTGAAGTCTGTTAGATCCATGGGTGAATTGAAGTGTATTTTTTTAGATATAGTTAGGTTAAATTTATTTAAAATGTTTTACTTGTTCTATGTTGAAGGCCCATGGAAAAGGACAGTTTGGTATTTGGATTTTCCTAGTGGCCAGTGGGATGAGATAAAAAGAAGCATATTTCTTTTACATAGGTGGGTATAGGATAGTAAACAGTTAATTAACATGATAATAACATTGAGAGGATTTGTGGTCTCTGGTCTGGTTCAGCTGTTGTGCTTTGAGGGGTTCAGAAAAAAAAGAAATGACTTTGATATTCCAAAGGTACTGTTATCAGGTCTGATAGATGCAAAAGACAACAGACAGTCCCAGTTAAGATAAAGATTGACCTTTGTTAGGAAAAAACACTGGCCTAGAACATGACTACCTACCATGTACTTACTGCTTTTAGTTAGAAAGGTTTTTTGTTTGTTTGTTTTTAAATATATTTTTGTTGATTTCAGAGAGGAAGGGAGAGGGCAAGAGGGATAGAAACATCAATGATGAAAGAGAATCACTGATTGGCTGCCTCCTGCACATCCCCCACTGGGGATTGATCCTGCAACCCGGGCATGTGCCCTGATCGGAAATTAAACTGTGACCTCCTGGTTCATAGGTCACTGCTCAACCACTGAGCCATGCTGGTCGGGCAAGTTAGAAAGTTTTAAATTCAGACCATCCTATGTGGTTACTTTCAGTTTCTGAGTTTGTAAGGCCATCATGCAGGCTTCCCCTAAGCTTGTCAGGTTTAATATGTGGCCCCTGTTTGTCCACATATTGTATCTTTTTCTCTGACAAAGTTCTTTTTTAGAGGTGATGGGAATCGGAGCCTTTCCCCCCCCTATTTTTCATATTAATAAATAGTTGTAATAAATTTGATATATGTCAATTTTAGGTTAGAGTGTAGTCATGTGATTTGATAAAATTGATTTCACAGAGAGGAACGGAGAGGGAGAGTTAGATAGAAACACCAATGCTAGAGAAACATCAATTGGCTGCCTCCTGCATGCCCCCCTCTGGGGATTGAGCCCATTACTCGGGCATGTGCCTTGACCGGGAATCGAACTTGTAATCTCCCTGCCTCTCCAAATCATTCAATAGGCCTTGACAGAAGTGAAATTAGTATCTTGATGAGGTATCTGCACATCCATGTTTATTGCAGCATTATTCACAATAACTAGGAAACAACCTATATGGCCTGTGGGTGAATGAATGAAGAAAATGTGGTATATTTGTGTATATGTATATATTAGAATATTAGCCATAAAATGAAGAAAATCCTGCCATTTATGACAACATGAATGAATCTAGAGAGCATTATGCTAAGTGAAATAAGCCAGACAGAGGACAAATATTGTATGGTATCACTTAAATGTGGAATCTTTAGGGGAAACAAAAGCTGATTTTATAGAAATAAAGAATAGAATAGTGGTTGCTCCGGATGGGAGAAATGGGGTAATGTAGGTCAAAGGGTATAAATTTTTAGTTAAAGAAAAATAAATTCTGAGGATCTCATATACAGCATGGTGACTGTAGTTAATAATGTTATTGTATACTTGAAATTTGCTGACAGTAGATCTTAGGCATTCTCACTACAAAAAAAAAATTAACTGTGAAATAATAGATGTGTTAATTACCTTGATTCACATGTATATGTATATAAAATTGTCACATTTTATAATTTTAATATATATAATTATGTTCGTCAGTTATTCCCAATTATTCTTCAGTGAAAAATAAAATGAAATGATTAAAATAAAAAGTCTTAATAGTCACTCCTTGATAGAGAATAGATATCTAATATCTCTCCCAGTTTTAACATGTTTTTAATATACCATGGAGTTTGACCCCATTACCATTTACATTACCCCGGATTTTAAAAAATATATATATTTTTATTGATTTTAGAGAGGAAGGAAGAGGGAGAGAGAGATAGAAACATTAATGATGAGAGAGAATCATCGATCGGCCGCCTCCTGCACGCCTCCTACTAGGGATTGAGCCTGCAACCCAGGCATGTGCCCTTGACTGGAATTGAACCTGAGACCCTTCAGTCCACTGAGCCAAACCAGCTAGGGCTACATTATCCAGAATTTGATGGTCACTGATGTTTCTTGGTCCAAATATCCAACACATGCAAACAACCCACTGCAGTCATCTTCTCAACAGTGAATAAAGGAAAGTTGTTTAAAGAACTGTCTTTACCAATAGAAAACCCTGGGTTCAGCTACCAGTTCTGCCACTTCCCCATGTGCAACCATTGGTGAGTTACTCTTTCTCTATAAAGACTCATTTTTTCCCCCATACACATAAAAAATCACAGTTCCTCCATCACAAAGCTGCTGAGAGGATAAAATGACAACTGTCAAATAGTCAACAAATGTTAATTTTACTAATATAATTATATTTACCAATATTCCCTTATTATAATTACTTAGTATTTATAATTATTATTATTTATATATTATTTATAAAAATATCTTTATTATAACTAATAATTACTGTTATTAATAATAATATTAATTCACTGTTAGGGACTGAATATTTGTGTCACACCCACATTCATATATTGAAACCCTAACCACGAATGTGAATGTATTTGAGATAAAGCCTGTGTGGAGGTGATAAAGGTTAAATGAGATCATAATGGCAGGGCCCCAATCACATAGGCCCAATACACTTATAAGAAGAGGAAGAGACATCAGAGCACTCTCTCTGCCACTTGACACAGTGCAAGGCAGCTGTCTACAAGCCAGGAAGAGAGCCCTCACCAAGAATAGAATAAGCCAGTACTTTGATCTTAGGCATCCCAGCCTCCACAACTGTGAGAAAGAAAATTTCTGTTGTTTAAGCCACACAGTTTGTTGTGTTTTATCAAGACAGTCTGGGAAGGTGAAAACATTCGTTAGCAGGAAGATCTTAACTTTACAAAGTAGGGCCTTGCATTCATATAAATAGTACTAAAAATTAGGGGAAGAATATACTAAAAGTGATTGGGGCTGCTAATGTTGATTTCCACTAGCCCATGGGAGAAAACATGAACCCAGGTAGTCATGGGATGAGAAGAAACTGGACACTTAGCCTTTAACATAAGGTCTTAGCAGCTGCATCTCAAGTGGGTGCTTTGAGGTGATGGATGGGATGCAAGACTGTTGAGATCACACCAGCAGCCCCCTGTGTGGTCATCACTTTGGCCTGAGCCCAGATCTGCTGATCAATTTGACCAAAGCCATTCGGACTTCCCGGTTCCTCAGACTGTAGATGAGAGGGTTAAGCATGGGGGTGATAACACTGTAGAAGAGGGAGGCCACATTGTCCTGTTGTGGGCTATGGTAGGCCCCTGGTACCATGTACATGAACACTGCTGCGCCATAAAATAGCCCCACGACTGTGATATGAGAGGAGCAGGTGGTGAAAGCCTTGTGTCGGGCCTCCTCTGAGCGCATGCGTAGAACGGCTCTCAACACGTGGCCATAGGAGATGGCGATGAGGGAAAGGGGAAGCATAAGGATCAGCACCCC